CAGCCCCTCTCTCATTTTCTAAGAAGATCCTAGTATTTCTTTCTTCCCATAATGTCCAGCATACTGCAGCCCTCAGACCTCTCCACATAGTCCTTCCCCTTTTCATGTGCCACCTGAAAAAGGAAGGGGAAAATAGGCTCAGCAAGCAACCTTACCCAAAGCTCCCAAAGCTCCAGCCTATGAGCCCTTCACATCAGCCGGGAAGCACATTTTAACTCCCAAAGCTCCAGCAACCTTACCCAAATCCAGTAAGTGAGGTCACAGTGCAGTAATAGAGCAGTCTCCACATTTCCGTTACATAAGGTGCAGTCCGGATCCGCCAACTTTCGCTTCAACCATGTCTGTAATGCCAATAGGTCCACTACAAGTCCACAATACTGTTCCAGCAGAGTTGATTATGAAAACACCAATCCCTGCCACCCCCTACCATCTGAAATTATTCTGCAACTTCCATTAAAGTTTAGCAGGAATTTTCAACTTGTCCTTAGAGATAACTTAGGTGGGAACAAAGGAACTAACCTAGAAGAGAGGAGGACACAGCTTAGATTCCTATTAAAGTACTTACATGTTAGGGCCCATTGAATGAGGGCTGGGCTGATAAAATATTAGATTCCTTTGTTGGTATGCCCTCAGACTTTCTAAGGGGTTAGGCCTTTCACTAAGTGCATCAGGAGAGCCAGGACTGATGCCAAGTGTTATATCCTGTCTTTGGCAATCAGGGTTGGATCATCTAGAGGAACTACTTGTCTTCTAGTACAATCATTTTGAAGGCGAACAACAAATAAAATCTTTGATTCTTTTGCTGGTAGGCCCTCAGAATTTCTAAGGAGTTAGGCCTCTCACTAAGTGCATCAGGAGGGCTAGGACTGATGCCAAATGTTATAACTTGTCTTTGGCAATCATGGGTTGGATCATCTCCAAACCCCTTTTTACTTGCTCCAGCTGCTAAACTACCAAATCCCGGTGCTACATGATTGTTGATGCCTGCAATATCGTCTAATCCATAAGCCTTAGGTAGTAATGGTAAGATATGGTAGTAGACAAAAAAAAAAATTGCATCTGCCCATAAAAAAAGGTCACACACCAAAATGCAGAGGTCCTGTACATATTAATTATCGACTCAGTTTAAGGGTCCTCTTTGGGAAATTCCCACAAGARGAAGAGATGAAAGAGTGTCCATAG